AGTTGAGACTCCTGGAACTCACTATGTAGCCCAGGCTGGTCTCAAACTCACAGCGATCCTTCTGCCTCAGCCTCCCGGGTGCTGGGATTACAGGCATGTGCCACCACGCCCAACCACAAAATCTTTATCCTGGGGACCCCACTTAAAATTTTAAGCTATGTTGGAATTTTGTTTGTTTGTTTTTTTAACCATACCTACTCAGTAGCTCTTCAGCATTTGTTCTTTAAAGTGTTATGTGCATGTCTGCAACTAACAATTTTCAGGACGCCTATCAGTGGTTGTCTCCTCAGGTGTGTATAAATGGTACTTATACTCATATTTTCTTTAAATTTGGCATTAGAGTTAAATTCTGGTAAAAATTAATTAAATCAGATAAATGAAAAGTATGCATATATGAAAAAAATGTGGTCTGTCCATAAGGTATATTGAAAAAAACTGAGAAAATGATCGTAGCTGATTCAACATTTAGATAGGTGAAACAAGGTAAGAGAATCTATGTGCATTATTTTTTCTCAGCATTCTAAGACCTGAGCAGGAAGTGGTATTCATTTGTGCTTATGCCCTATTAGTTTTGATAGATGACATAGAAATAACATGAGCAAGGGAGATACAACTAAAGAGATTTGGAGTCATCCTTCCATTGTGAGACTTACAAATATAATGAATTAACCCTTGTCCTCTGTGTTCAGTTTCAGTTTGGAAGGCTTAACAGGAGCAACAGGCATTGGAAATAAGCCGTCCTCATCTCTAGAAGTTAATTCTGCAAACTCCAAAGGGCTCAGACACCCTTTCAGTGGGGAGCAGCGGGGTGACTCTTTGATGTCACTTTCAGAAGAGGATCTAGAGTCACACCAGAGAGAACATAGGATGTTTGATCAGCAGGTAAGGCTGAAATAGATATATTATTGCTAATTTGGAAAAGAAATTATGTCCCAAAATATAAACACATTCTCAGAACATTAGAAAGCATGACCTCTGTTAATATAAACCTAGTAAAATAAGGGAGGATGGAGGGGGTGAAGGGACAGCAGAGATATGGGGAAAAAATGAGAGCCAAGATATCTGTCACGTAAAGTACAAAATTCCAATGATGAATGTAACTGTACTGTATACTTAAAAAGTACCAATAAACTCAAGATATAGATAGATAGATATAGCTAGTAGCCAAGATGACATCCTCATTAAATAATATATTCAATCTATCAATAAAGCAAGCTTTTAGCAATGCAATTTAAAGAAAATCAATGTTTCACAGATTTAAATATTCCATCAGAGCAAATTTTAAAACTGGGAAAGTACCTAGGAGATGAAATTGAAATTTTCCTTCTTATTATCTCAGTACTAAAGTGAGTCTTGAGATATATTATTCATCATTAAATTTCCCAGTTTTCAAAAAAATTGCCCAAGTTTCTTCATAGGAAAAATATTCTTTGTCTTAACCTTACCATCCAGGAAATGACCATTGATGCCTCTGCTTTCTGTCCCTGCCAGAATTCTCCTCTATGTTAATGTCCTCTCCTGCCACTCTCTCCGAGGTCGTGGCCTGCCTTGTCAGCCAAGTCAAGTGACTTTTTCTCAGTTCTCATTTTCCCAGGCCCCTCATTATCCCTGGGGGAGTTTTTGAGTTAAGATTTTTTTTCTTTTTTAAGCATTCTACCCCTCCCCCAGTTCTTATTCCTCTTCTTGAGTCAACAGACTTACTTCTCTGAAAGGATTCATCTTAATTCATTAAATGAAATATGTCTAATTAAACAAATAAAGCACCTATGTTTGAATAGGAATTTTGGATAGACATCTAACAAAATTAACAAAAATATTAAAGAACCTATTTTTTTATTTGATAGCTGGGGTTTCTGTGTAGAAATTTAATTCTTTATTGTGTCCTATTACCTAGCAATGTTGTGACCGCAAATTTGGCACCAAAAGATTTTTTTTTTTTTTTTTTTTTTTTTTTTTTTTTTTTTTTTTTTTTTTCTGTTTTATTAT